CTTCTGCCTCAGGGCCTTTGCACTCCCAGCCCCTCTGTCTCCACAGCTCTTTCCCCAGGTAGGAGTGTGGTGAACATTTTACTTCACTGGACTATGGCTTGCCTGCTGTCCTGAAGACTTCCTCCAACCACCTTTATTTTGAACTGCAACCCTTTCCTTCTCCAATCTTAATTTCTCTCAGCAGCACCATCCTTACAGAGCATAGTGGGCACAGTGCGCTCTTCTGGATCACTGTCCCTAACGCGCAATTCCAAGTCCAAAGTGTTTTTCTGGTTAGATTTCATTGCTGTTTCCTCAGTGGCTCCAGAGGTTTCAAGCGCAAAGTCGGAGCTTAATAAATCCTGTGAGCTGAACAGGCGCAGTCAGCCTCTTTCGTTGAAATCTTTTAGAAATCAAATCAGTCTCCTCCAACCGGCCCCAGCGGAGCGCGCTACCACTGCACGGCCGACTCAGCTGGCCCCGCCGCTCCCCTGCCTGCACCCTGCTCTGGCAGCTGCTGTCCGCAGCAGCCGGAACGTTTCTGCCAGGCTGCAGCGCTCTGCGGAAGAGCTTCAGCGGCGCGCTTCTAGGCGGGCGGCGCTTCCGGCGGAGAGTCGTTCCCGTCGGGCCGGTGAGTCCGCTGGTGCAGCTGGGGTGTGCCCTGGCCCGGCGGCGGGAGGTTGGGCGAGACGCCTGGGAGGCTGTCGGGCGGAGGACCGGCCGACTTGGCCTGGCTGGCCCAGTAGGGAAGGACTGTGGCAGGGAGCGCGGAAGGTGGCGAAGGACGCGCAGGGCCGCGAACGCGGACGTGGTTCCGCCTGGGTCCAGCGCGAGGACTGGAATGGTGGTCGGGGTGCGAGCCCTCTTCTGGGCTGGCTCTGTGGCAGCGGTTGAGTTGCCCAACCCGGAGCCCTGAGTTCGCACTTGGCGGGCAGGCCCAGGGCTCACTTGCCTGTTTTATCAGCAAATGCCTCCATGAGGGCGGTGCTGGTTGCAGCTCAGGTTTCGATCTCGTCCAACAAAATAACTGAACACTATGTGTCCTTTTTTTTTGTTTTTGTTTTTGATGTGCAGGATAAATACTGAAAATAGAACAGTGTTTAGTCACTGTATATTATGTTACCATGTGCGGAATAGCACAGATGTTAAAATTATTGTCATTTGTAGTTTTTCAGGTTGTTACAGCAGATCACCAAATTTCCTGAAAGAAATTAATTTCTTACAAAGACAGTGTGTGGTTTGTTAGTTCAGTGGAAAATGTTCGGAATTTTAGCTAATAACATCTGGTTATAAGGTGTCACAAAAAATGATACCTTAGCAGTAGTCTCCAACTTATCAGTGGATTTTAATTACACAAGTGCATTTATAGGTCGCCTCTTTAAAGTATTTTCTATAAAAGCATGATAGAAATGGAGGGTAAAATATCGGTTATGATCCTTATCTATATATACAGAGTCTGCTAAAAGTACGTGTACACATGTAAGGAAGAGAAAAACTTGTAAGTTAGCTGTGGTGGCGCACACATCTTAATCCCAGCGTTCTGGAGGCTGAAGCAGGAGGATCATTGCAAGTTCCAGACCAACCTGGGCTACAAAGGGAGCTGGAGACTAGCCTGAACTGCATAGTGAGACCTTGTCTCAAAAAGACAAAGGCAAAACAACAACAAAAAGAACCCTTGGTGAGGTTCAAGCTAGCCTTGGAAACACTTTACAAAGTCTTTACAAAGTGCTACAGCCCAGGCTGGTCTCAGATTTGCAACCATCCGCCTACTTTAAGCTTTCCAAGTGCTGGGATTACAGAAGTGTGCTAGGGCGCCCAGCTCTAAGAGGCAGATTCTTTAAAAAAAAAAAAAAAAAGTGTTCCAAAAGCTGCACCTGGTGCCAACTAACTATGGTGCTTTGGAGGCTGAGGCAGGAAAACTATTTGATGGCAGGAGTTTGAGACCAGACTGGGAAACATAGCAGGTCCTTTTATGAAAAATAAAGCAAAACAAAACAAATAAAATAAGGCCACAAAAAAAAAAAAAACCCTCTTGGTTGAATATTTTATTAATAGTTAATTTATTGAGGCATCATAAGATTAATACGTTACCTTTGGTCTCTACAGTTGGAACAAGTACTCAAAGTGGTGCTTATTAGTTTCCTAACATTTGTTAGTACATTGAACTGCTGCTGCATGGGTCACCTTGGTCGCTAAGACTGCTGCCCATGCATTTTCAATTTCTTCTCTAAGGGCCCGCAGTGTAGTGGGTTAGTGTAGCATTGTAGTGTCCTGCGATACAGGACATCCTTTAGGGTCCTCCACAGATAAAGTATTAAAATACTGATACAAATTTTTCTAAAATTTGTGTACCTTTTTTTGGCAGATTTTCTCTGTATATATTTATTTCAAGGCTAATCATTACCGAGCAGGTAGAGGAAGATCTTAATTGATATACAATTACCTTAGGTAGGCAGACAGGGGCACTTAGAGAAAATCTTTTATTCTTGGTGAATTGATAAGTCTTCCTGGGTAATTAGGGAAGATTCTGGAGGAGCAGGGATAACACCCTTATATGTAAGAGTCATAGTCATTGAGACACAGAGGCAAAGAAGGATGAGACCAGGTGGGGTTCTATTGACTCAATTTAGGATCAGCCACTCCTCCAGCTCAGGGCTGGAGACAGCGATCAACATAGGTCAGTCCCAAAAGCCAAGTGTAGTAGTGCACCCCTGGAGTCCAAGCACTGGGGGGACTGAGGCAGGAGGATTGCCACAAGTTTGAGGCCAGCCTGGAGTGTATAGTGAATTCAAGGCCAGCCTGAACTATGTAGTGAGACTGTCTCAACACACATGCAAACATTGGTCGGTCACAGTATTTTCCTTAACAACTCCATATTTTTGGCAAATTTCTGTAAACTTATCCTTGAATTCTGAAACCACACTTAGTCCTTGATCAACTTCCTGTTGACATTCTTGAAATGAAAATCTAGTCAGTATAAACTGTGTCAAACGTACTAAATACATTTGTCATACTGAACAGTTTCAGTACATTTTCCATTTACAATTGTATGGAATTTAAAGGGTAAGGAAGATTTTGCCAAGGGATAGGTGTTTTCTTCTGTTTTTTCCTCTTAGTCAAAGGCCCCTAGGCTGCAATACAACTCTGGAATCTAACCTCATATACATATAGTGAAATTACAGTGGTCAGGCACTCCTCCTTATTGCCATGTTATCTAGCAAGTAAAGACCTAAGAAGGTAGAGTAGCCTGTGGAAAACAGTTCGTCCTGACTAAAAAGCTGTCTTTATCCATGCCAGGGACAGGGTATATGACTCTCATCTTGGGTTGGGCCAGGAGACACCCCTGGGGAGGGTGGAGGTTGGGTGTGGTAGAGATGTATATTATTTGGTTCATGGGCTTTTTCTACCACCAATTTTGGTATTTTTGTTTTTTGGTTTCTTGGTTTGGTTTGTTTTTTTATGTAGTTCAGACTGACTTTGGACTCTCTAAATAGCCCAGATTGGCCTCAAATTTGTGGTGATCTTCCTGCCTCAGCCCCTGGGATTACAGGTATACATCACCACACCTGGCTATTTATTTTTATTCTTTTGACTTATGATATTTAAGCATTTAGCCATTTATAAATGATGTTTCATTCTTTAAACCTTGATAATAAAATTCACACCTACAGTCAGGTGAGGTGGCACACACCTGTAATCCCAGCACTTGGGAGGCCAAGGCAGAAGGATCAGCATGAATTTAAGGCCAGCCTGGGCTACATAATGGGACCCTGCCTCAAAACAAAAAATTCCAGCCTACACAAAGGTGGAGAGAGAACATAAGAATCATCAGATACTTACCAATTGTGGTAACTGTCACTTGTGGATAACATTTCAGCTACACCTGTATGACTCCCATAATTCTGTATTCTTGTTTTGTGATGTCCATAAAGTATTTTTTGTTCTTTAATATTGTAAAAAGGTGTTTATTTGTATCGGAATCATGTTTGTTCATAAATATTCATATTTGTGTATTTTCACTAACAACAATTTGTTTTTTCTCTTTTTTTGGTGCTAGGGATCAAATTCATGACTTTGCGGGGTGTGGTAGCACACTCCCTCCGGTAATCCCAGCACTCAGGAGACTGAGGGAGGTGAATTGTTAAAAGTTCAAGACCAGCCTGGACTACAAAGTGAGCCCAAACAGCCTGAACCAAGTAGCGAGACCCTGTCTCCAAAAAAGACAGGACAGAAAAACAAAACAAAAAACTCATGACCTCGTACTTGCCCAAGCATGGGCTGTGCCAGTGAGCTGTATCTCTGGCCCTAACAAAATGATTGAGTAAACTACAAAGAATAAGATGTACTTACATTTGGGGCTGGGGATTTAGCTCAGTGGCATATGCGCCTGCCTTGCAAGTGTGTGATCGTGAGTTCGATTCCTGGTACCAATAAAAAAGAAAAAGACAAAAAAAAAAAAAAAGATGTGCTTACATTCTTATTTTTCTTCTTCTGGTTCTAGGGGTTAAATCCAGGGCCTTTTGCATGTTAGGCAAGTGCTTTTGAGCTATAGCCACAGCTGTTCTTTTGAATTTTATTTTGAGACAGTTTTGCTTAATTGCCCACCCTGGCTTTGAGCTTGAAAGCCTTCTACCTCATCCTCCAGAGTAGTTTGTGATACAGTATGCACTGCCATACCCATCAGTGGTTTTTTTGGTTGGTTGGTTGGTTGGTTTTGGTATTGGGGGTTGAACTCATGACCTTGCCCCTGCCAGGCAGGCACTTATGCCACTGAGCTGTATCCCCAGCCCATTTTTGGTTTTTGAGACATGCTCTGTCTTTGTAGTTCAGGCTGGCCTTGAACTCACTGCAGTCCTCCTGCCTCAGACTCCTGAGTGCTGGGTTTCCAGGTGTGTGCCACCATGGCTGCCCCCAACCCCCATTTAACTTTTAAATAAGTGGAAGCATTTTGTACAGACATGTTTAGAACATTCATAGTCTTATGGCTTTTAGAGTGCTGAATAATACATACTTTTTAAAATATGGATGAAGAACCAGAAAGAACTAAGCGATGGGAAGGAGGCTATGAGAGAACTTGGTAAGTAAGGCATTAAGCCCTCTTTTTTCTTTTAGATATTATCTCTTTTTAAAAAATTGCCCACTTCCAGTGTGTAGTTCAGTGACTGTTTTTAGAAAATTTACTCTCATAAGCCAGAAAATTTCCTATCATAAGCCATTGTCTTTTTGAGACAGGGTTTCACTATGCAGTTCAGGCTGACCTTGAGCTCCCTTTGGAGCCCAGGCTGATCGGGAACTCACAGTCCTGCCTCAGCCTCCTGAGACCTGGGATTACAGGCATGTGGCACCATAAATCAGTCTTTTTTTCCTCCTATAAACCAGTTTTAAGAACACTTTAACTACTCCAATGACCACTTATTTAATGGCTACTTACATTTAATTCCATTTTCACTGCTTGTAGACACCCACTAATTTATGTTGTTTATTATAGATTTTCCCTTTCTATTTCCCATAATCATATAATATGTGGTGCGTTGGGCTGGGGATTTGGCTCAGCAGCCTAAGTGTCTGTCTGACAAGCGCTAGGTTGTGAGTTCGATCCCTGGTACCAAAAAAAACTGGTGTGTTGTATCTGGCATTCACTTAATATACTACTTCAAGGCTCTTCTATGTTGTAGAGTATGTCAGTGCTTTGTTTCTTTTTTTCCCTTTTCTTTGAGATGGGATCTTACTGTGTGGTCAGGCTGATCTTGAGCTCACAGTCTTTCTGCCGCAGTAGCTCTTCAGTAGCTGAATTGGTTCCCTGCGAGATGACGGGGATGAGTACTGGGGATTATACCTGGGGATCTTTACCATTGAGCTATATTCACTGCACTTTTCATTTTTTTATTTTGAGTTAATGTGTAGGTTGCTCAGGCTGGCCTTGAACTTCTGATCCTCCTGCATCAGCCTCCCAAGTAGCTCGGATTATAAGCATGTGCCACCACACCAAGCTTGTTTTTTTTTTTTTTAATACTTTTTTTTTCTTTATATTGTTAGGACACATTTTTGTTTTATCAGTTCAGCAGCTGATGGACATTTAGGTTGTTTACAGTTTTCACAATTACATAGAATCATACTGTGAACACACATGTACAAATATCTATCCACCTCTTTATTTCTTGGGTTATTTTTAGCTTATATTTTAAACCGTTATTACTTACAGGGAAATTCTTAAAGAAGATGAATCTGGCTCAGTTAAAGCTATCATAGAAGACATTCTTTTCAAGGCAAAGAGAAAAAGGTCAGTAAATTCTTCCTAAGTTTGTCATGAAAGGAAATTGTGTCCCTGAACCTTTTTGCCCACCTGTAACTATCTTAGAACTTCATTTCCTTTTGTGTTTCAGAGAAAATGGCTCGTCCTTGTCTGAGTAGGCAGAAAGAACTGGTACTATCATACCTTACCTCAGTAGGGAAATGGGTTTCAGGAATTATATGCAATCTCTATAATTATGTGTATCCCAAAAGTTAATAATTGACTTCACTAAAAAAATGCATATTATTTAGCAAGTTGTATTGACTTTTTGGGTAGCATATGATATTCCATTAAAATGCTTGTATAATTTTAACAGTATTTGAACACCGTGGACAAGTTCGACTTGGAATGGTATGTTATCTTTTTTCTTTTACTGGTACAGAACTAGTTTGGATTACAGAAACATTCTGGCTCTACAGAATGAACAATAATAAAGCAACAAACTTTTTAAAAGAATATATTAAAAGCTATGTTCAGAACATGTGAATATTGAATGTGGTTTTACTTCTTGGTGAAAGATGTAACCGGAGATTATTCCCTTTCTTTTTGGTAGATGCGCCACCTTTATGTGGTGATAGACGGATCTTGGACAATGGAGGACCAAGATTTAAAGCCTAATAGACTGACATGTACATTAAAGGTACAGAAAGATCACTTAAAAGTCATTTACATGTGTCCCAAATGCAGGAGGGACAGTGGGCTCTGGAAAAAAGTGCAGGAAAACTTTTTTCTAGTTGATCTAAGTGACAGCTAAGAGATACGCTACGAGGAAATAGTACAAGGATATAATAAGCCTCACCTGCTAACTATGTAAGTCTGATTTCCGCCTTGCTGTCCCAAGTCAGGGTCTTGTTTTGTCACTTGTCCCTTTCCTTCACTGAATCTTCATTCTCCGTTCACTTCCTTGAATCTGTCTTCTCGGCTTACAGACATATCCATAGTCGTCCTAACTCATGAAGCCCAGTCCTCCATCTTCCTGTTCTCCCTTCCCTGTCCTCAGTGGGTCTTTCCTTCTTTCAATTATTTTTGTTTTGTTTTTCTCTTTGAGTTGGGACCTTGGCTGGCATTGAACTTCTGGCCACATAAGAGGGCCCCCTGCCTCAAATTTTTGTTTTTGTTTTTTTGTTCTTTATTGTACTGAGAATCAAATTTAGGACCTCATATTTACCAGGCAGCTGCTGTACCACACTAAGCTAAATCCCCAGCCCTTTTTCTTTCTTCTTCTACTTTTTTTTTGTTCTGTTTTTTTTTTTTTTTTTTTTTTGGTACTGGGAATTGGACTCATGACCTTGCACTTGCCACACACAGCTGCTGTGCTGCTGAGCTGTATCCCCAGCCCCTGCCTCAATTTGCTAAGCCGTTGGAATTGGAAGGTGTTTGCCATTGTGCTTACTTCTGATTCATTCAAGTTGGGCATGGTGGGAAATGCCTATAATCCCAGCTGGAGGCTGAAGCAGGAGGTACAAGTTTGAGCCCAGCCTGGACCACTCAGTGATTTAGCAAGTCCCTGTCTCAAAATAAATAAAAAGGGTATGGGATGTAGCTTGGTACCAAGGTCTTGGATTCAGTCTTCAATACCATAAAGCAAAATCAAATCTAAAAAAATCTGGGTCATTATTGTTTTATCACCTGCTATTTCAAATATAGTTTTTACTATTTAATATTTTTGCAACTAAACATTTTCTTGAAAATCTGTAAGTTTAAATATCTTATGGGAGTTTGAAGGAATGAAGCCTTCCTGTATGCTTTTTGGGTGAAATAACTTAATAATGACATTTGGCCTGGGATTGTAGCTTAATGGTAGGTACTTCCCTAGCTTGTGCAGAGCCCTGGGTCCCATCCTTAGCAGCCCAAAAAGAAAAAGAAAAAAGAATATCACAAGGGATCCTTGATAAACAGGTTATTAAAGCATAGTTGTATGTATGGTTTTTTGCCCTTGTGTAATATTTCTTTTTGTTCTCTTTAAACAGTTGTTGGGAGTACTTTGTAGAAGAGTATTTTGATCAAAATCCTATCAGTCAGGTATGTAGATAAATGATAGAATTCAGAATTGCATAACTATTTTGCTGCCAAATATACTGTAATTTGTTAAAAAATAGGATATACATTGTATCATTTGCTAAGTGATCTAGATTATATATTCTTTTTAGGTACATTTAGCAAAAAGCATAAAAGTTTAACAGTAGGTAAACTCAGCTAAATTTATTTGTTTAAAATACGAGGAAAAGTTTCTCGTGTGTTGCTTATTTCTTTTGTAGGCATACTAATTTATTTTACATAAATTTTATCAAGAGGAAGTAATTTGTCATATTAAATTAATGATCTTTTTTGTTTTGAGATTGGAATAATTGTAACTAAGAGTAAAAGAGCTGAGAAACTGACTGAACTCTCAGGTATGCGTTATATTACCTTTCCAGGACACAGGCACTTTGTCTTAATCACCCAGACATGTAACCCTGTTCTTAAGGGTGTTTCGTAAGTGAAATGAAGCCTTCCTGTATGCTTTTTAGGTGAAATAACTTAATAATGCCTGTTTTCCATTAAACTCTTGGAATTTAAGATTAACTGTTTTAAACTGAGTTCTGTACATGGTGAATAGTATTACTGTGAATGTGAATCTGTTTCTTTAAGATATGTACAGTCTTTAATATTTTCTGAAAATATTAAAATAATCTTATTGAAACCATTCATAAAATCCACTTAATCTTCAACTTGAGTTTTCAAAAAGTTAAACATTGAATTTAAAGAGCACATATATAAAACGGAATTGCAGCTTTTTTTTTTTTTTTTTTTTTTTGGACTGGGGATTGAACTCAGAACCTTGCAGGCAGGCACCTTGCCACTGACCTAAATCCCTGGCCTGAGTTATAGCTATTGTTAACTGAGTCCACTTTTCTATTCGCACAACATGAATTTTACCTCACATAACTGAATTTTACCTCATAAAAGATAATAATGGCTATTTTAATTTTCTTACCTATATATCCTGCTGCAAACTGACATCATTTAATTCCATTTTACTTTTTGTAAAATAGCTCTACCTTAAATCGATTTCTCCATCTTTGCAATGCATAAGTGAAGTGACACGCTGTGTTTATGAATAATTTTTCACTATGACTGTAAGGAATAAGAGGTTTATTTATATGGATTGATCCAAGAAACTCAGTTGCAAGAAAATATAACAGTTTCGGTTGGAAGTGTGGCTCTGGAAGGCCCCAGTTTGGGTTGGTCTCTAGCACTAGAGGTGGGGCCATAACTAGCTTTCAGCAGCTCACAATGACCTACCTCTATGCCCTCTGTGTTCGGTGCTGACACATGGGGTAGTTGTTTCTAAGCATCAGGCCTTGTCTGGCTTCAGCCTTTGGTCAGTTTCCTGTGAGATGAAAAGGTCTCTGATAGCAGCCTTATGCCTGCATGGCCCTTGTCCAGCTACACCCAGGTGCAGAGGGACTTTGGTTTTACCATCTGCCTACCCATGAGCCACCAGCACCACAGGATAGTGAGGATTTTGGGGATGTATTCCTGCACCCCGAGCAGAATGGAGGCAGGATGGCTGCTGGCTCAGCACAGTATGGGCCAAACAGGATAATTACATGATCGTGGCAGGAGCTGCCCCCTCCTGCCTTGACTTTTCCACTCCAAATGTAGAGGTCATATGTATGAAGATTAAAAATCCTCTGGAGCCAGATACGGTGGGCATGTCTATAATCATAGCTGCTTGGGAGGCTTAGGCAGGAGGATCTTGAGATCAAGACCAGCTTGGATTGCACAGAAAGGTCAAGACTGCATAGTGAGACAGTGAGACCTCAACACAAAATTGGCACTTTTTTTTTTTTTTAAATTAAGCATAGAAAAATTTATTGGGAAAATGGGTGGGGGGAATAGAAACAAGCGAGGTCCCAAATGGGTTGCCCAACATGTTCATATTGTATGTATGGTATTTTTTAATGGCATTTTATAAAAGCAAATTGCTCCATTTAATTTAAGGAAACCCAAGGACACACATAACATCTTTGAAGAAAGCTATTGATATGACCTGTCATGGAGAACCATCTCTTTATACTTCCTTAAGCATGGCCATGCAGACTCTAAAGTTAGTATTTTACATTTCTTACTGAAAGTTGGTTTAGAAGTTTTTAATAAATTAATTGAAATGAGAATATGTTAATTGAAGTTTCCATAAAGCCAGTTATAATAAAGTGGGTAAGTAGAGAACTAGCTGTGTGTGGCAGTGCGCATGTATACTTCCAGCACCCTGAGAGGCTGAGGCAGGAGGATTGCAAATTTGAGCCCAGGCTGGGCAGCTTAGCAAAGATCCTGTCTCACAGAAAGAGAGTCGGAGGTGGCGCTGAGGATATAGCTCAGTGTGAAGGGCCTGGGTTTATTTCTCAGGAGAGAGCTGCCAAAGGTTTAGGGATCACAAGTGGCATTTAGTGTAATATAATGAGTTGATTGTATCTTCACTGACATTTTTTAACCTGTTTGATAGTATATCTATAAATTAATAGTACACAGTTCCTGCAAGTCCAGCTGTGTGGGTTGTAGCAAACCCCAAAGAAAACTTTTACTTTTGAGATAGATAAGTACATAACAAAAATCATAAAAGCAAGCTCTTCAGTGTTATCTACAAATATTAAGTGGGGAGGATAATAATGAAACGTATAAATAACTGGTAAACTTGTTCCAAAAATGACAGAAATCCCTTTCTAGCATAGAAAGAGCTCACACAGCTTCACCCCTCATTGGGTCATCATTTAATTGTTACTGTTGTTAAACCACATGTACATACCTTAAAGCTGACCCTACTGTATAGTCCTGTTTCTCACTGTACACGTTCGACTTCATATGAAAGAAGCCTGTTGAACTATAAGCTTCGTAATGTCGGGGCTCAGTCAGTATCATTTATCATTCTTTCCCTAGAATTTGAGAGAACTTTCTGTGTATTTCCATGAATAAGTATGTAAAAAATACATAGCTCTTTTTTTTTCTGTTTTTTTGTACTGGGGATCAAATTTACGACCTTGTACTTGCAAGGCAGGTGCTTATGCCATGGAGCTAAATCCTCAGCCCCTCTTTCAGTCTTTTTGAGACAGGGTCTCTCTGTGCAGTTCAGGCTAGCCTTGGGCTCACTTTGTAGCCCAGACTGGCCCCGAATTCACAGCAGTCCTCCTGCCTCAGCCTTCCAAGTGCTGAGATGACAGGTGTGCACCAACACACCTGGCTTTATAGCTCATTTTTTGAAAAATGAACATAAGGAGCACTTGCCTGTCATGCACGAGTCCTGAACTCTGTCTTCAGCACTGAAAAAGAGAAAAAAAAAATGTACATTGAAGTATTTAAAACATTCTCAATTCATTTCCCAGCAATGTTGAGACAAATGAGATATTCTATGGTCTGAATGTATAAACCTTGTATATTGTTCCTTATAGATACATTTTTGTGGGTATAATTTGCTATAACTTAATGAGAGTATATTTTATCTCTTCTTTAGACACATGCCTGGACACACAAGTAGAGAAGTCCTCATCATCTTTAGCAGTCTTACAACTTGTGATCCATCGAATATATATGATCTGATTAAGGTAGGACCGGTGCATCAAAAGTGATGGGGGCTGGGGATTTAGCTCAGCGGCATAAGCACCTGCCTTGAAAACAGGCAGTCATGAGTTCGATCCCCATATCGATAAAAAGGAAAAAGACAAAAAAAAAAAGAGTGAAGCTATAGCAGAGTCTGTGGCACATACCTCTAATCCCAGCATTCTGGGAGGCTGAGGCAGGAGGATTGCAAGTCAAGCTCAGCCTGGGCAACCTACTGATTTAGTGAGACACTGTCTCACAATTTTTTTGGCAGCATGGTGGCACAAGCCCGTAATCCCAGCACTCTGGAGGCTGAGACAGGAGGATTACCTTGAGTTTAAGGCTAGCCTGGGCTACATAGTGAGGTTAAACCCAACCTAAACTGTACAATGGGACTCTTGTCTCAAAAAAAAAAAAAAGGAAAGGGAAAGTGAAAGGGGATGAAAAAAGGAATTAAAATGTCTTATGTACAAGTACACTACCTAAAAATACAAACATTTTGCACTGTATTCATGTACTGATAAAATGATTTTTAAAATGCTATAAAAAATAAAACTTTTAAAAGGGCGCTGGGAATGTGGCTCAGTGGAGAGACCCTAGATTGAATCCCTGGGGCCCCCAAAAAACAAAAAAACCCAAAGTTAAAACACTAAAGAGAATTCTGTACTGTGTCCAGAGCATTATTTTTTCAAGTATATTAATTCTTAATTAAATACTTTTCTTCTTAATTCTTCTTTTTCTTGGATTTGATAAAGATCCTGAAAGCAGCTAAAATCAGAGTGTCCGTCGTTGGGCTGTGGGCAGAGGTTCGGGTTTGCGCTGCACTTGCTCGGGAAACTGGAGGTGTGTGTCTAGTGTGTTCACTCTATTCATAATCATCATGTAAGGATTCACTGACTAAGCTAGGCTGTCGTAAGCCACTGAATCTAAATTATTTCATATCCATAGTCTAGCATATGAAGCCATCTTAAATATATTTTGCATTGAGAAATCACCTCAAAGGGGAAGGAAATTTCAGTAATGTTTGTGTTTAGAGAAAGCATAACTGTTGAAAGGCTAGAAATTTTACTGTGTATAATACTTTCTAAAGATTTCATAATATGGCTTTTAATCAAATTGTAATTACTGTTCTTAGAGATACCAATTTAGAAATAAAGTTCTTAAAAATGACAATTTAACTAAAATCTTAATTTTGAAGATGTACATTTGTAGATGTTAAAGCTTTTACAGGACTATATAGAAATTTTAATGTGTTCTTACATGTGTAAAGCTGTTTGTTTGTTTCTTGTTAGGCATGTACCATGTGATTTTAGATGAAAGCCACTACAAAGAATTGCTAATGCATCATGTTAGTCCTCCTCCTGCCAGCTCAAGTTCTGAATGCTCCCTTATTTGTATGGGTATGTGTTTATTTTGTTATTTTAAAAATACATATTTTTATTCATATGAGGCTTTCTGTTTTCATTTACTTAAGTTACTTTAAAATTTGAGTTGGATTTTTTGGGGGCCATGTTTTATGTCACACACTGACTTAGGTAATGCCAACACTCTGGAAGCCTAAGGCAGGGGAATCGCACATTGGAGCCCAGCCTGAGGCAGCTTAATGACTTAGCAAGACCCTGTCACAAAATTTATAAAAAGGGATGAGGTTGTAGCTTAGTGTGAAGGCCCTGGGTTCATTTCCTATTACAACACACACCCAAAAAGACAGTGTTGTTATTAAATTAGAAGATATAGATATGCTGCATGTGGTGGTACACACCTATAATCCCAGCACTTGGGGCTGAGGCAAGAGGATCACTACAAGTTCATGACCTGCCCTCTCTACAAAGCAAGAGACCTCGCCTTGGAAAAAACAAAGCAAAAAGAAAGCCCCCAAAAAGAAAATATAGGCGACTGGGGGTTTAGCTCAGTGGCACAACTGCCTGCCTGGCAGGTATGAAGTTGTGAGTTCGATCTCCAGTACCAAAAAGAAAAGAAAATATAGGTAAGAACTTCAGAATCTGAGGTCATGTGTAGACCTATTTTTCCCTCATTCCTCTATTTTTTCTTTACAGTAGCGGGGTTTACAGTTAGTCTCAGATAGGATAATAAGCATACACATATATCTCCTAAGAGATGGAAAAACAACTGTTTGTTTGAAAACAGCCTTTGTACAACTTTGTTGGCTCTCTGGTAGAAACATTTTTAGGTTCCTACCCCTAGAATTGTGCTTTTTGCTTGGTAAGAGAAATTAATACTTTATCTTTTCTGTGAAGAATTTCCTCAGCACACCATTGCTGCTTTGTCTGATCAAGATGCAAAACCTTCTTTCAGCATGGCATAAGTAAAGACCAGTAATATTTTAGCACTTACAATTCATTGCTGTAAGTTATAAATTAAAAGATGGGCTTGAAATGTGGCTTGTAATTAAAAATTACCTTTTGACCTGGGTGTGATGGTACACATGTGTAAATGTAGCACTCTAGAGGCTGAGGCAGGAAGATCACTGTGAATTCAAGGCCAGCCTGAATTACAGTGAGACCCTGTCTCAAAAAAAAAAAAATTTTTTTTTTAGATAGCCATAAAAAGGAATGACTATATACAGTATATTTCTGCAGTAAGATCTTCAGGAAATGTCAGTAGAAGGAAGAGAGAAGGTGTGTAATTTGATGCCGTCTATCTAAAAAGAAGGAAGTGATGTGAGATGATTCAGTTGTGCTCAGAATAAAAACAATAGTAATGGATATAGGGAGTGAAAACTAAAGAGTGTGTTGGTGTTTAAGGAAAGGCAAAGTGATAGAACCTGGACTTATACTAAGTATGCCTTGTTTGAACTTCCGCACTTAATATTTTATATAATTAAAAAACAAAAAGAAAGTGATTTTTTCCAAGTCACAGGCAAGACTTCTGCCTCCTTCCATTAAAGGTATAAAAAGGACTACATTTACTGTTCTAGAGGAAATATGTCACACAGCCACGTGTGGTGGCACATGCCCGTAATCCTAGTGGGGAGGCTGAGGTAGGAAGATCAAAGAGTTCAAGGCCAGGCTGGGCAAGACCCTGTCTCAATAAACATTTTTTAAAAAAGAGGAAGAGGGAGGTATGTTGTCAGTTAAATGACACACATATTTTCAAATAAAATTTAAAATTTTTGAAATCCAGAGTTTAAAGTCAAGGAAACGTATTTTCTTTTTCTTTCTTTTTTTTGTCTTTTTTGAGATAGGGTCTCACTATGCAGTTCAGGCTGGTCTTGGGCTCACTTTGTAAACCAGGCTGGTCTCAAACGTGCAACAATTGCCTGCCTCAGCCTCCCAAGTGCTGGGATTACAGGAGTGCAACATATTTTCTTCAGTTTTTAATTTTTAATTTTTTTTTTTTTTTTTTTTTTACTTTTTACATCTTTATATACATCATCTTTCAAGTAATTTTTTTCCCCGCAGGCACCTGGATAGCAGTTCTGAACCGGGACTTACATTAGGAGGCTATTTCTGCCCACAGTGTCAGGCAAAGTACTGTGAGCTTCCTGTTGAATGTAAAATATGTGGTAAGAACCTGTTATTCATTGTTTAGTAAATTAATTTCAAATAATTTATTATCTATCATATTGGTAAAAATAAATGTTAAAAAATGTAAATGTTGAATTCCACCTAGGTTTCTGGGTATTTATGTGTCTGTGTATGTATTTATGTGTGTGTGTATGTGTGTGTGTGTGGTACTGAGGCTTGATCCCAGTACCCACTCTCTGCTCTGAGCTGCATCCCCAGCCCTTTTTATACTCGTGAGACAACGTCTCACTAAGTTGCCCAGGCTGGGCTCAAACTTGCAAAGTTTTTGGCTGAGCCTCCTGCAGTGTCGAATTACAGGTGTGTGTCATCAGGCCTGGTGTGGCTTTACTTTTTGCAAAGAGAAATAGGTTACTTTTTAAATTGAATGTCCAGTACTACATTTCCAAGAATAAACATAATGTATAAAGTCTAATTCATTTAGAAGTAAGCAAATAGGCCCAGAGAGGTAATATGTGAGGTGACAGAGCTTACTCACCCCTGGACACGCCTGTGGTCCAAGGAAACTGAGAACCGAGCAGCAACAGATGCCGCTCACTCTCCAGGGAAGGAGTTCAGCAGTGGAAGGGCTGGCAAGCCTGCAGCATGGCCTGGCTTCAGCCTCCAGTGCTGCAAAAAACAAAACTCCACTAAAAACACTTGCAAGTGCTTAGGCTGGGTTACAGATTTGGCTTCTTAGCTGTTGTCTCTATGAGGTGTGGATTAAATATGCTTCTGTTTGTATGTTAGGTCTTTCTTTGGTCTCAGCTCCCCACTTGGCGCGGTCGTATCATCATTTATTTCCCTTGGATGCTTTCAAGAAATTCCCCTAGAAGAATATAAAGGGGAAAGGTATGAGTTTTGATTTATTTATATCTCTTCATAATGGCGAGCTAATGTTTGAGTAGATTGTCACTGCCTTTTGAAAAATAGTTATTAACTTGAGTATGATTATTTCTGATATAGAAAATGAGACACAGCTGGGCATAGTGGTGCATACCTGTAACACAGCTGTAGAGACTGCTGAGGCAGGTGGATTGCAAGTTCAAGGAAAGCCTGACCAACTTAGATCCTGTCTCAAAATTTAACAAAAGGGAAAAAAGGCCTGGGGATGTGATTTGCGGTAGAATACCGGTGGGTTCAATCAGGGAGGATCCTTGTTTTTGAATGAAATAACTCATTATTGAACACATCTGTGTCTCCAGAACTTGTTGATTTCCTTGCTTTCACCTCTTCGTAGTGAGAGTGATGTACTGAAGCCAGGTATGATAGTTCATGCCATAATCCTAGCAATTAGGAGACTGAGGCACAAGGATCTTGGGTTCCATCCAGGCCAGTCTGGGTTAAATAGAAAGTCCTGACCCAAAAAACAAGAACGGAAAAATCATTTGGAAATCGTTTCATATAAGCACACTTAGAGGATTATTTTTCGAAATTGTGTATGTAGATATTACCATGTTTTATATAATCAGTTCTTTTTTTTTAAATTGGTACCAGGGACCACATGCTTGCAAGGCAGGAGCTTGTGCCACTGAGCTAAATCCCCAGCCCCAATCAGTTGGTATTATCAAATAATGTTAATAACTTTAACTTTGTATATGTATAAATGCCTGATAGATTCTTAGAGGTAGAATTGTTGAATCAAAAGTTATGTGAATTTTAAGGCAGCCATGGTGGTAAAAACCCGTATAATCCCAGCACTTGGAAGGCTGATGCAGGAGGATCACCATGAGTTAGAGGCCAACCTGGGCTACCTAGTAAGCTCCAGAGCAGCCTGGTCTACATAATGAGACCCTGCCTCAAAAAGGAAAAACAACAAGTGATTTAATAGATGCTGTAAAGATATCCTTTAAGGAGGTTTCATTTGTTGTTTGCTTAAACTTGAACAGTATTAGGATTATGAAATTTTTTTATATTGGCCAACTTTTAAAAAATCTTACTGTTTTAACTTGCATTTATTTATTTACTTATGATTGAGGTAGACAGATTTAAAGATAGAGCTGAAGAAATATTCCAGGAAGTAGAATACTTGGCATAAAATGAAGAACCCAATAAAGGTAAAAAACCAAAAAAATCCAAACTGGTAGATTTTTCAAGAATGTCCAGTATAGGAATATGTGAGAAAGAAAGAAAAGAGAAAATATAGAATAGGAGATCATCAAATAAATAGTTTAAGGAAGTTTTCTACTTCCTTAAACTATTGTACAAACTATTCCTTCTACTATTGAAGAATAGTATTTTCTTGGTCAAAAAGGACTGTCAAGTGGTTAATTTATTGAAAAAAAACCAGACCCACACTAAAGTACATAGCTGTATAATTTCCAAATACGTAGTGAAATACGAACCCTAAACATTTCCAGAGGAGAAAAATTAGGTCATGTCAAGGATCTGGGATTAAAATTGCTCAGCTTCTCATCAACAATATTGAATGCTAACAGAGAATTTCAGTGTTCAGACAGAAATATTATATATATATACATATATAATCAGAGTGAAAATATTACAGTTCAGCCAGGTGTGGTGGTGCATGCCTGTAATGCAGCAGGAGAACTGCTGTGAGTTCAAGGCCAGCCTGAGCTAGAGTGAGACCCTGTCTCAAAAAAAAAAAAGACTTACAGAGATGGATGAGCATGACATTAGTTTACATGTATGCACTGTTAGTCCAAGAAGTCTGAAGGAATTAAGTTCTCATCTTCCATGGCTGGAGGCTCAGAGCCAGTATTCACAGAGCAGGAGTTAGCACTTATATAAGCATAAGTAAATATCACAGTTACAAGTTTAGTTTAGTTTCGTTTCGTTTTTTTTAATTCCATGTTTGTGGATTTTTGAGACAGGGTATCACTCTATAACTCAGGCTGACCTTAAACTCACTGGCCCAAACTCACGGCAGTCCTCCGGCCTCAGTGTTGGGATTATAGGCATGCACCACCCCACTTGGCACAAGGTTAAAAGTTTTGAAAGTACCTCTGGGGAGCTGGGAATGAAATGGGAAGGAGCCAGGGAATTGCTGTTTTCAGTAATAAACAGAGAACTTTGTTTTTTTGAGAGTTCTGGGGTAGAATCAAGCCAGGGCCTCATATAATCGGCTTGCACTGCACTGCACCCCGAGTCCCAGGTCTTTATACTGCTCCTTGAAAGTGAGACTGCCAGCCTTGGGGGTGCACACCTGTAATCCCAGCACTCAGGAGACTGAGGAAGGAAGGTTGCCGCAAGTTTAAGGCCACCCTGAACTACCTTTAAGGAGGAGACACCCTATCTCAAAAACCAGCCAGAAAACAAACAAAAATTTGAAAAGAAAGAAAATAAAACCATTAGGCCCCCATTCTGTGTAAGAAGTTAACGTGTCTTCTCTTCATCTAGGATTGTATCTACTAGGTATAGGAGAGTTGAAAAATAGTTATTTTCTGTAGGGCTTAATTCTCTTCTAGAACCCCAATTAGAAAATATATGCATATTTAACCTTAATGAAAACAAAAACTACATTTTGGGCTGTCTTGAGCTGGCCAACATACTGTAGAATTTTAAGAAACTGTTGGCATTCTTAACTCTTTCTGCCAAAGTTTGGTATAGAAGTAATTAGTAAGGGATTCTAGTTACTCCAACTTGGTTACATCATTTTAACTAGTGAATTCTTTTTTAAAAAATGATTCTCAAACTTTCTTTTTCAGATTTTGTTATGGATGTCAGGGGCAACTGAAGGACCAACATGTGAGTCTTGACTTTCTAATAATAAGCTATGCATAAGAAAATAATACTATAATAAGTTTTCTGGAGGTTGTTGAAGACCAGGCTTATATCAGCTTATTTTCTATAAATAGTTATATACTAATTAGTAGACATAAAATGGGGGAAAAATAATCTAAATAGTAGTTTTGTAATTCTGCATTCTGATTTTGGTATGAAGACACTTAGTGCTTTGTCTTCTGTTTTTAAGCTAACTGCTTTTGTTTATTTAAAGTGTTGTGTTTTGCTTTTGTTACCAGGGGTAGAACCAGGGCCTAACCCACGCTAGGCAAGCACTCTACTACTGAGCTACAGCCCTGGCCCCATTGTGACTCCTTTGGAAGTTATCATTTAAGGTGGCCACAAATAAAAATTGTTAGTATTTGGAAGCATTTTTAAAATTTTTTAATACAGAGCCAGGCTAGTGGTGCCTGCCTGTAGTCCCAGCCAGTCAGGGGCATGACTGAGTTCACTGGGCCTGAGCCACACAGCGAGGCTCCATGTCAAGCAACCATGGCAGAGTTTAAAAAGAAGTTTTTGAAAGTAGTCAGTGCGATTATATAAAGTCATATAAATGCGAATGTCATGTCTATTTTTAATATTTAGTGACATTTCCATATTTAAAAATACAAAGTCTATCAAGTGTTAATTAGCAGTATTACTTGTTTGAGGCTAGCAGTGTAGCTCCGTGGTAAAGCTCATGCCCAGTATGTATTTTAAGATCCTGGGTTCAGTCACCAGCACCCCACAAAACAAAACAAAAATTGCTTGTTTATTCCACTTGAATGTTTCATAAAATAATTTTATTAAATTTTACTTTCCTTGAGACGAGGGGTATAGCTCAGTGGTAGAGAGCCTACTTAATGTGTATGATCCAAGGTTCAATCTCTAGAACATTTCTCTTTGACATCTGTAGTTTATCCTCACTAAAATCACTTTTTCAATTGTTTTACAGTTTTTTTGTTTTTTTGTACTGGGAATGAAACTCATGCTTGCCAGGCAGGTACTGTGTTGCCTAGCCATATCCCTAGCCCTTGTTTTATAGTTTCTAAGAACATAATCTAGCTGAGTGTGGTGGCTCATTCCTATAATATTAGCACTTAGAAGGCTGAGGCAGGAGGATCACCCAGAGTCAAAGGCCAGCCTGAACTACATAGTGAGATCTTCTCTAAAACAAAGCAAAACAAAACATCATCTTTACTTGTGTGTTAAGATATAGTGAGTTTTATCTCTAGTCAGAGGTATCCGTATATGCAATGCTGATAGAATTGTGAGCTTTTATTCTCTATGTGTAAGTTGACCTACTGCCTAATGGCTTAGTTGAAAGAGGAATATAATTTTTGCAGTTGTGAGGTTGTTCTCTTAAAAATAACTAAACCCAGGGCTGGAGATATAGCTCAGCAGGGCAGCACCTGCCTAGCAAGTTTGAGACCTTGAGTTCAATTCCTGGTGCCAAAAAAAAAGCCTCTTAAGAACTAAACCCATGTTAAATTTTTGTGCTTCTGTTTTTACTCGGATCTGTCTGATGACCACCTGTAAACATTCATACCTAGCACTGATTTGTGCTCACATGACTCCTCTATGTTGTTACTTAAATGAAGTAGCTGAGAATATGTTATAATAAATTGACTTTGGGGGGCTGGGGATTTAGCTCAGCGGCATAAGAACCGCTGATATAAGTTTCTGATATAAGAAACTTTTTTGTGGCTGGGTGTGTTGGTACACATCTGCAAGCAGGCGGTCGTGAGTTCAATCCCCGGTACTGATAAAAAATAAATAAATAAATAAATAAATAAATAGACTTTGAGGACTCAAATCAGTCATTTCTCCATTTCTAAGGATAGTTGGGGGGGCATAAATCACATCAGATTTAAAAATATATATGCAAGGTGGGTAGGGAAGCTTGCTTGCAATATAAATAGCAAAGCAACATAAATGTCTTCTAGCTGTGATCACTTAACTGTTTATTTTTTATTTTTTTCACTTAACTTTTAGACACTATCTTGGTTGATTCCTTTTTCTTCTTTCTGTTGCAGGTCTATGTTTGCACTGTGTGCCAGAATGTATTTTGTGTGGACTGTGATGTTTTTGTTCATGACTCTCTCCACTGTTGTCCTGGCTGCATTCATAAGATTCCAATTCCTTCAGGTATTTGATTCCAGTATGAGTACACATAATGTGTCAAAAAGAAATTTGTGTTGGGCACACCCATTATCCCAGCACTCAGGAGGTTGAGGCAGCAGGATCCTTGAGTTTGAGGCCAGCCAGGGTTACATAGCAAGTTCAAGGCCACCATGAACTACATAACAAGACTCTGTCTCAAAAAAAAGAAAAGATTTGAAACTATAAGGTGATTCTTTAGAAAAAGCTCCAATTAAAACATGAAGAACAGTTTAAGAGAAAAATCTGATATAAGAAACTTTTTTGTGGCCTGGGTGTGTTGGTACACACCTGGATTCCCAGCACTTGGGAAGCTGAGGCAGGAAGATAGCTGTGAGTTTGAGGCCACCCTGAGCTGCATAGTGAACTCAAGGACAGCCTGAACTACACAGCAAGAAAAAAAAAAAAAACTTTTTTTCACAAGACTATTAAGTCTTTGTTTCTTGTCACAAAAGGCCTAGAATTCATTAGTATTTTATTCAACGAATTTTGTATTATTTAGAGTCATGTGTTCAAAGTCCTTGTGCATTAGTATGTGCAAATTATAATTGAAGTACATTAAATGTTTGTGATTTATTTTAATTCATTAATTTAGTGTAAGAAGACATTAAGAACACATTGTAAGAGGTGGGAGTTAAGCTCAGAGGTGTAGGTTTCTGCTCGGCAAGGGTAAGATGGTGAGTTTCATTCCTGGTACCAAAACAACTAAACAAACAAAAAACACATTGTAAGATGGAAGTTATATAATAATTATGAAATGTTAACACATACGAAATAATGCACTGCTGCATCCTCCAGAGTGTTCTGTTTGGACTTAAAATATTTGGAGTTCAATTATAAAATCTGAAGTAAGTTCTCTGGCTGTGACCAACAGGAGGCTTTTAGGTTTAACACACCAACTCACAAGCCCACACCACCCTTGGCACCAGTTCACAAGAAAGAGATGAAAGAGAACCACAGCCTGGAGCAGGGCCACATCGCATACCCGCCATGGGGTCTGGACACAGCTTTGCAGGCAGGGGTCTCTTAACTGCGAGGCTGGCATCTTCCCTCTATGAAGTCACAGGGCTTCCATGCTTAAACAACAGTGGAATTCCAATGCCGTGGGAAAAGGTTTTGGCCTCTTTTATGCACTACACTGATTGCTTTTAAAATACCATACAGAATGCAGGATGTTGGATGCCACCATTTTGGTTGGTTGTTACCTGAGTCTTGCTTGTGTAGTTCAGGCAAATGAAACCAAAGTTGAGATATCTTCCTCTTTGAACCTCACTGAGTGTTTAATTATTGTCTTCCATTATTCTGCGCTGGGTCACTAGGGAAATTTAGCTGAGAAGATCTGTTTTTTTGTTTTTGTTTTGGCACCGGAGCTCGAACCTCATGATCAGGCATTTGCAAAGCAGATGCCTATGCCGCTGAGCTAAATCCCTAGCTCCCAAAATCTGTTTTTAGGTCCAGTGCAGCTGTGTTGTTGGTAGAACTCTTCAAGATGTGCCCTGTTGAGAGTGAATAAAGCTTCCATTCTGTAACAAAGGTGTGTACTGTGTATTTTATATCTGTAGACTTTAATCACCCTAGGTAGAATTTTACCATGAAGTTTATGATCTTATAAATAAGAATTCTTAGTGAAGGACATTATCAGTAATGATGATGTAATTCCATGCTAGAGATTTTATTTTTTAAAATTATTATTTTAAAAATTGGGGCTGGGGATTTAGTTCAGCAGCATAAATGCCTGCCTGGCAAGTGTAAGATTGTGAGTTTAATCCCCAGGGGTTGGGGAAATCAAACTCAGGACCTTGTGCTTGCCAGGCAGGTGTGTTGCTACTGAGCTATATCCCTGGCTCTAGAGATTTTATTTAATAAACCTTGGCTGAGGCCTAGAAATTCATATTCTCTGTAAACACACACACACGCTGGTACGCAAGGTAACAAAAGTAATAGATGTTGCAGTTAGTATTCATATGGTAAAGGCAATTTTGAATGTAAAGGATATTTTAAAACTTAGATTTCTAATCCTATTCAAGGATGGTGTTAGGAAGTGCAAGCTGTTCCCATAATTAAAAAAAAAATACAAACTCAGCTAAGCCTTGACATCCCCCACGCCAGCTAAAACTTGTAGATAAATGTAACTCAACCAGACAGTGCATCTTGTTGAACGAGCTTGCTTTCAAATTCTTAAGGACAGACTAACTCAGTTATAGGCAATGAATGATTCTTCCTGTTCCCCACAATCCTGATCCCCAAATTATACAATAGTAACCGCAATTAGCTTACATAAAATAAGCCTGCCTGAGAGCATATGACTCAGTTTATGTAACCAATTATAAAAGATCCTGTTACCTGTCTTCAGACCTCCTACTGAAAACATACGTAAGTGACTGTTAGCTTCAAGTTAGGGCTGCTGTTGAAGATTCCATTCGGCCTGCTAGTGTAATAAAGCCCTATGTCTTCCAAAGTTCCTCTGGTGCTATGACTTCTGTCTGGTCTGGACCTGAACCTCGTAGCAGTATTTTCTGAGCTGAGACCCAGTGGTTTTTTGTTTGTTTGGTTGGTTTTTTTTTTTTTTTTTTTGAGACAAGATCTCACTGTGTAATTCAAACTTGCTTTGAACTCACTCTATAGCCTAGGCTGGCCTTGAACTCACAGCAATTCTTTTCCCTCAATCTCTGCATAGGTGTGCAGTACCATGCCTGGGGGCCCACTGGTTCCCTATGTGGAAACAAATTATAGTTACAGGTAACCTGGTACCTGCCATCTTCTCTCTTCTTTGACAAAAGAGGTAGCAATGATGTGCGTGCGATACCTTTAACACTGTCCAAGTGTTCTACTTCTTTCTCCCTGATGGCTTAGAGGCAAGACCTTGGGTCACCTCTTAAAGTTTCTGGAACTGTCCTAGAGACTCATCCTACAGATTTAACTTTCCCCAAGTATCATTTTCTTTCTTGATGAAGTTAGGGTAAATATTTTAATTATACTAAGGAGAAGCTTTGCTTTCCACAAGACAGAGGAAAATCTTGGATTGTTGAAGATTCCAGTAATGGGAGTTAGGATTGTAGCTTAGTGGTAAAGCGCTTGTCTAACAAGTGCGAGACCCTGTGTCCAGTCGCCAGCACTGGAAAATAATTGCAGAAATAGAAATGATGATTAAGGCAGTTCTGACCTTTAGTTTCCTTATTGAGATTCTTAGCATATTATCATATATTTTAAGTGCTTTCAAATAGGTAGTTTGTTACCTTACATTCTGTGTGTGTGTGTGTGTGTGTGTGTGCGTGTGTGACTAGGGACTGAACCCAGGGCATTTGCACTGAGCTATCATCCCAACGCTTTTTTATTTACTGTTTGAGTCAGGGTCTCACCAACTTGCTTATACTGGACTTGAACTTGCAATCCTTTCACCTCCTCAGCCTCCTGGAGTGCTCGGATTACAGGTGTGCATTATCACACTCAGTCTCGTGTTCTTTATTCAGACTCACAACCCTACCTCCTTCCATCACCCATGAATCATTGCTTGCAGTTTGCCCATGGGCTTGGTCATGCAGTCCTTGGGTGCCTGCTCAGGAAGCCAGATCTGCTCAGTGCTGTGGTATTCCGTCCAGCTCTAGATGGTGAAAGGGACAACTCAGATTAGACTAGTGTGCTAACTTCCTTTTCCAGTCTAGCCCAGTGCAAAGTAAGCGCCAGTAGAGTAGAAAGTAGGCAACATCTCAGGACAAAAAGGCAGCTAGAGGAATCTGAGGAAACATTGAAAGTTGTGCCTAGTGGATGCACGTGGGAGGCTGAGGCAGAAGGATCACTGCAAATTCAAGGCCAATTTGGGCTACATTGTGAGTTCAAGGCCAGCCAGCACTATATAAAAAGAACCTGGGTCAAAAAACAGTTTGGTTGACCAAAGGGGGAAGAAAAAAGACTAAAATTACTAATATCTGTAATGAAAAAGAAGACATTACTAAGAACCTTACAACTTACATAGTCACCCCAAAAAGAAACTTCTTACTTATTAACAGTCACTCCCCATTTATTCCATTTCATGGTATCTCCTACAGTTGTCTTTAGTTTGGTATGTTTTATGAGTTACAGCTCAAAAAAACTTTAAGAAACAAAACCTTAACATGTGGAAACAGGTTAGCAGGTCTCCTGCTGCCCAGAAGGGAAGTGGGAAGCGCGTGGGGACATGGTGAGATTTCTCAGTGCTTTGTAACACCCTCATCTCTGGCCATGGGTGACTTCCTCTCCTGCCTCCATTACGGTCAGCAAGTTCATAGCGTTAAGTGATTTCAGGCGTGTTGACATACAGCGGTGTAAGCAGTCTTGGGAAGGCAGTTGGTGAAACCCTAAGGGCTTCAGGAAATGCAGGAGTTAAAGAAAAGGGAAGAGGTGCAAGTCTCCAGAACGAGAGAGAGGCTGCCGCATTTCTGGGAAGTGCTGTGCTGACGCCCAGTGCCTCTCTGGCCTCCAGATTGTTAGTACTCATTTGATTCTGTTCTGGGAAAGGGATGACAGGGTGGGCTGAGGACTCTCCTGGGATGTTTACTCAGTTTCCCCTAACTGATTGCTGTCTGAGTCACACCTCAGGCCAGGACCCTGGAAGCAGTGCAGCCCTTCTCCACGAAGGTCTTAATCACTCAGCAAACCTGACACAGCAGCTATGTGTCTGCCTTGATCCTAGGCATCAGAGAAATGGACTCTGGGAAGGAGATACAGGGTCTAACTTTGTGGACATGGAAGCTTCTAGTCTGAAAAGGAGTGGCCTTACAAAGAGGTCCATGTGAGCAGGGCCTGGTGGCACCTACCTGTAATCCCAGCACTCCTAAGGCTGAAGCAGATGGATTGCAAGGATTGCAAGTTTGAACCCAGCCTGGGCAGTACAACAAGACTGTCTCAAAATAAAATTTAAAGAAGTGCTGGGGCCTTGGGTTCAGTCCCCAGCACTGGAAAAAACAAAAGTGCTAGCAGTATGTCAGGGTTAAAGGAGTGGGCAGGGGATCTATCAGATGAGCTTGGTTGCAACTCACGTATCTGAGATCAAGCAAAGAGCAGAAATCAATGGGGCGGGGGGAAGCTGACAGACAGGTAACCTCTAGAAAGCAGTTGCCCCATCTGAAGGAGGCTGCTTCTGGCATGTCGAGGGTTGGGATAGAAGGAGTTTTCACTTTATATCCTTTAGTACTTTTTCAGTTTTGGGGGAGGTGCTGGGACTCTAGGACCTTGTGTTTCACAGGCAGGTGCTTATGCCGCTGGGCTATATCCCCAGCTACTTTTTCAATTTTATTCATAATGTCTTACCTAGTCTGAAAAACAAAAAATAAGGGTCATAAAATAAAGTAACCATTATTCAACCCCAATTTTACTCTTTCCTTCAGGGAATATAGGCCCTTTGAGGCCATATATTTTGATACTTAAAGAGAAAACTTTAAAATTTGCATACTACAAAAATGAAGCATGATTCTTTGGAGGAAAAGGAGGGATTTTTTAAGTATCTCTGTAATCAGCTATTGTAAATATGTTGCTTGGACCAGTAGCATCAGACTCATCTAGCAGTGCATTAAAAATGCAAACTTAAGCTGAGCACAAGGGCACTTGCCTACAGTCCCAGCACTTGGGAGGCTGAGGCAGGAGGATCTCAGTGAGTTTGAGGCCAGCCTGATCTACATAGCAAGGTCTTGTCTTAAGAAACAAAAACAAAAAAAGAAATGCAAACTCTTGAGCCCACAGGAACCTGCTGAATTGAACTCTGGTGTGAGCTTGGCAATCTTCTTCAATAAATCCCCTCTGTCCCCTAAACTCTTGCCTCACCTTGACTTGTGAACCGCATGTAAAAAGTACAGCTGGGTTATGAACAGCTGGCTGCACAATGGAAAGTGTGTTAAATGAACACTGTTCATTTGTAGATTGTAGATATTGACAGAGAAGTTGTGAAAACCAGTGAAACCTAGAAGCCTTACTGCAGCAATTTGATACACTAGCAAAAAGATGTGGATACTCTGGAAGGTAACTCTCCCCTGGCTCTGTCCAGGTGGCACAGGGAAGCATAGCGCTTTGCCCTGTGATGTACAATTCCTTTCCACAAGGCTGGGGAAGAACTGGGCCTTGTGTCTGCGCCAGCATATTCCTACAGCTTCTCAGAGTCCTTTGGGCAATGACTGAGCGGATAAATCATGCAGGAAACAATGTCTAGTCAAGACTTTAAATATGAACTACAAACTTCAAGAATATAGTTTTGTGGCCAGGGATTTAGCTCAGCGGCTCAAGTGCTTGTGTCATGAGTTCGATCCTGGTTTAAAAAAAAGAAAAAATCTTGTGGGTTTTTTTTTTTTTTCCTTTCAATAAAATTAAATTTTAAAAAAAGTTTGAAGAAAGGGGGAGGAAACGATCTGGGGACCTGGGGTTTGCCTTGCTTTAAAATTTGTCCTCTTAAATTATAAAGAATAGAGCAGAAATTAACACACTGAAGACTACAAAAAAATACAAAGAATGAAAGACCTGCTTCTTTGAAAGACTGAATAAAATTGACAAACCCTTAGTCAACCATA